TGATAGTTCCAGTTCAAATTTAGGACTAAAAGGCTTTGTTTTTTTAAAAAATGTCTTGCACATGGACAGTCTTGGTTTCTGACATCAGCAGGCTTAACTGTCTGCTGCCCTAGGGCACCCACACCTGTGCACACACTTGAAGAAGAGAATCCCACCGCTGTCCTGACAGAGTAGTATGGAAGTAGTTCTACTTTTCCTGCGGCTCTTTTTTTCCTGTTAGAGTCTATTCCAACAGGTAAGTGCATTCAAACTCCCGTGGTAATGTCCCTTGAAACAATTACTCCCATGAAGTTATGCCAACCACTCAACGCATAGTTGGATTAATTGGTTTCATTGTGGCTCTTAATTTTGGGGGATTGGTTTTATTTATAAAACATAATTAAATTATGTAAGAAATTTATGGATAAGTTTAGCTTGTGTTAGCCTCGACTCTATGTGGTAGTCTTTCATGAAGGTGGGTATAAAAATCCAAACAAAAGTATTACCAAACTGTGATGTATCAAAAGGGTAATATGTTACAAACAAGTATAAGCTTGAGAATATAAAGCTGTTTTTGTCATTCTAATAAAAATATTGTATTTCAAATTGACAAACTAAAGGAGAAAAATTATGCAATCCCTCAATAGATGGAGAAAATCATTTAATACCAAGTAAAATCTGAAAAAAGGTTTGCATGACAAGTCTATAGCAAAACATCATGCTAATGGAGAGATACTGAAGGTGCTTCCCCGAGACAGGATGTGGCACAGTGCTGTCCCCACCTCTTCCCTTGAAGGTCCTAGCCAACATTGCAAGGTAGAGAAAGAAAGAGTGAAAGAAAGCAAGCTGTCTTTTTAATTTTTATTTTTGCAAAAGTAATGGTTGTGGACATAGTTAATCCAAAATAATCTTGGGATAATTATTGGAATTCATAAGTGAATTTATCAAGGTAGCTGGGAACATGGTGAGTGTGCAAAAGTCAGTCGTATTTCTTTCTATCAGCAACAAGGAAAATGAAAATTTAAAATAAATATCATTAAAAGAGCATTAAAACATAACAAAATACATGTAGGACCACTGTACAGACTGTAAAACAATGCCCGGCAGTCCAAGGCTCGCAGGCCACATTTGGCCCCCTCTGTTTCTGTACCTGCAGTTCTGTTGGAGCAGCCATGCCTGTTCGTTGACGTGCTGTCAGTGGTTCCTTTTGTGCCATAGCAGTAGCTTTGAGTCATTGTGACAAAGCCCATGTGGCTCACAAACCATAAAACATTTACAGTGTGGCCCTTTACAAGGAAAAGCTGGCTGACCCCTACTGTAGAGCAGCACTGAGAGGTATTAAAGGGACCCCAAATAAATGAAGGCATGATATGT